ATAAGCTTTGTTTCCACGGGAAAAATAATGATTAGCTTGGACGAATTTGTAACAGCTCTTGTTGCATAGTTGGAAAGCCAGAAAAATTATGAGAGTTAAATTGTCTACTTTTTGCATGTTATTAGTTTATGTTCTTTGGTGCATTATTTAATTAAATAAAAATTATTTAGTGCATTACCATTAGTATAAAAAAATTAGGGTTAAGTGTCATCGACATCTGACAGCAAGTAAACAGAAGTATTTGGGTAAGTTATTTTATTTCTTGTTTTTCATGTTTATTCTTTATTTATTATTATAAAAATGACTAATATGTAAAAATAGGGATCTTTTTAGGTTAGTTAAGATAAAATAAATAATAATAATATAATAAAAACTTTCAACAGGCATGCAAAGAGCAGCTCGTAGGTAATGTAATTTGACAGTGTAATGTGACCTCCACGTTCCCCTAGTGATTTACAACTTATAATGGCACGAATAGTAGTTAGACACGGTTCAAAGAGCAATAAAACAATAACATTTAATTATAAATAGATGTATACTGTTACGAGTTTAAGGCTACTTAGGATAAATGAATGTAGTTTCATGTTACAATTTGAAGCCATTCTAGAAAGAAAAAAAGGTTAATTTAGGTTTATTTCAATTTTTTTTTGGTGGTTACAAAATCGGAAAATTGATCAATTCCATTTTGAGATAGGGTAGAGAAAATAACGGACACACTATAAAGTTTTACTGAAAACAAAAACGTTTGAAATGCACTTAGGAGGTTTTAGGGATTACACAAAGGAAATTTGAGATTTTTGAGAAGACAAAAAGTATTTTTAATTTTAACATGAAAATTACTTTGCACACAGGCTATTCAAAACAAATACTCAACACACAGACAAATCTTTAGTAAAAATACTTCATTAAAAAAAATTATTTTTTGTGTACAAAATACTTGTTATGTGTACCAAAAGTCTGCCAAATTTTGTGAAGATATACACACTATATTAAAAGTTATAGTATTAAAACTCTACACAAGTAAAAATGGTCCAGTGAGTTAATGAGGGTTATATCTTAGTCTACGCATACATCTGCCCATTGCTACACATTATATATACATAATTTAGTTACACAGAAACTATAACTATATTCTCAAACAAATCTTCAGCTGCAGCTTAACATTTTACATCTCGAACTAATGCGATCAAATAGTCAATAGCTACAGTAAATCATCATGAACCATTTCAGCTAGCTACTAGCTATGTTTATTATCATTACAATGTATAAAGTTAGCTACCATATTAAATAATCCTTTGTAGTTGATCATAAAGAAATCTAACAAACAAGATAAATAAAACAGTGGGAATTTAAAACCTACAAATAGGGATCATAAAAAAGTAATCAAACAAGGCTGGAGATACTGTAGATATTATTTACTCAAATTACAAATCCATATTCTGACACCATCAAATGTAATTCTAGGTAACAGCATGAAGTCAAAACAGAGACTTGTAATTTGAGTAAATAATGTCTATAGTGATGCTAGCCTTTAGGTTTTTAAATTTCCAATTTGTTATTTATCTTGAAGTAATATAGGACTTAACATTCAGAATAAATATTTTGTTTGTCATTTCAATATATTCCAACTTCATATTGATTTATTAGTATTATTAATTTTATTTTAATTCAGTCTTTAAATGGACATTTTAGACATATTAAAAATTTTAATTTCCCCACAATATAGAAAAGGGCAAATAATTTTTTCCCGTTTTTCTTTAGAAAAACAATGAAATTCACGCTGATCAAATGTTTTACGTTACTGTAAATGCTGAGTTTGAACTGATTCAATGAAATAAGTGCAGAACATACCCACTTATCTGAACCATTTATACAGTTGTCTCCAGTTAAAGTATCACACAGTGGAAGGGAGTAGTTGAAGTCCTTCAGCAAATTTTGTCTTATTGGTCTTGTCAAAGTACTGTGTAAAAATTCTTGTCGTTCAAACTTCCAAAGTCCATGTTCATACTTTACATGTTCACAGAGGTCCTTAAAAGTTCTATTATGTTTTTCACATTTTGGACATCGATACTTTTCTTCACTTGCATTCATTATCATTTTTCAAAATTTCATCAATAAAAATATCTGAAAAAAAAAGAGGAAAATACAAATGCAAATACAAAAAATAAAAACCAAGTATGTAGTATAAAGGGAAATGTTGACAAATGTGGGAGCAAAAACAAGCACGTCTATACAGTACTATTGCCAATCAAGAAGTGATTAGGAGTGCAAATGCGGAGAGGGTGTTGGTTACAATAGGGGTTGTGTAGCACTTGTATTGGTGGAAGGCAAGCATTGAAAATTTGTGTGGACAGAGGGCAGTACTAATTGAGAAAAACTATTTTCTGAGAAGGGGTAAGATATCATATTGGAATATGAAATTCCAATAGTATTACTTATATATACATATATATATATGTATATGATTATAAAGACTTTTTAAGCAACTTAGATACAAATAATGTTCAGAATTTACCATGTGATTGCTACTCAAATTCTTTGGCAGATTTTTTTAATGAACATATTACTACTAGAAATTTGAATATAATAAAATACAATTATTTGCAGAAAATCAATGAAAAAAAGATACTAAATATAAAATAGCTACAAATTGTTAAAAGACAGACAATTTAAATTCTATAAAGAAAAACACAGATGACTGTATTTATATATATTTTTTTATGCACCAATTTTAACTAATGAGATAAACATTACACAAACTTTTAGGTTACAAAATAAGCCTAAAGATGTTATTAACAATTTCTTGAAAGATAGAAAATAACTTTTTGTTGAATCAAATCCATATTCAGAATTACCATATGTATATGCAACACCTAAATTACATAAATCTCACATTAAATTTCTTTTCATTTCTAGTTCAGTAAAAACTATACTGAAACAACCTGCAGTTTTATTAAGCAAATTACTGAATCAATTTATTAAATTATAACAAAAATGCAAATAATAAACATGCTTTCTGGCTAATTAAACCTAATGAACCTGTTTTAATAACTCTAGTAAATTTAAATAAAACACAATCCACACATACAATTTCACTACGTTATTCAAAACTATATCACTTAATGATTTTGTAATTGTGATACATTCATCAATAGATCAATTTACTGATCTACCTATAAAAGTAGAAAACCAAACTTTTCCTGCTAAAAATATATTCAGTTTTTGCTATTATGATAATTATATTCATTTTGATAAGCACATTTATAAACAAATAGTAGGTATACCAATGGGTTCTAATTATTCAGGTTGTGTTGTTCATTTATATCTTTATTATTACAAAAAATAAATTTACAAATATTTTACCAAATTTGGAATTATTTTCCTTAACATATAGATATATTGACAATTTAATTATACTAGTAACACTTATCCTACAGTTCTACAGATCAAGAACACCTCCATATCAAATATTGAAGCATATTATTTAGATGTAGATATTAAGATGATTAATAATTATAGTATTATTAATATTTATGATAAAAGAAACAATTTCACATTTAAAATTTTTGGTAATGCACCAACAAATGCCACATAGAGTATTACACATTCACAGCTTCTTAGGTATTGTAAAATTTGTAGCAATGTACAATTCATAATATCTATTATTAACATATTAGTACAAAAACTGATTTTTAATGGCTTTGGTGAAAAAAACTGTAATTAAATATTCTAAATTATTTTATAATAAGTATAAAAATTATTCATATAAATTTGAAAATAGTGATATAAACAAAAATATAATAATCACAATAAAAAGTAATTTATAAAATTTATTGGAGGAGAATTAATTAGACATTTTATATCTTATACAGGTGGACTAATGTAATTGTATCATCTTCCTTACATAAGACCTGCTACTGGGTGGATTTCTTTGGAACCACTGAAAATCCAAATAATAGCATGGAATGGTGGAGGATGGAACTACACTAATAATAAAGATTGGGTTTAGTATAGTAATACCTCAACATCTTTATGTCTAAACATTATATTGGGGCTGGAATACTAACTACAAGGGCAGTTTTATTCTCTCTCTCCCACTGATGTATTGTTTTCTAATTATTTCTTTCTTATTATTTTTATTTATTTTTTGGTGAGCAACCACCACCTTCCCACATCTTGCTGCAAACAGCAAAATGTGGTAAAGAAGTGGGCTAGAGCACCCACACCGGCTCCTTATCTTATTTCTTCTAAACATTTGATGCTGACAAAGTTGAAGTTAAACTGAATAGATGGTGTACCCCCAATGACCCACCTTATCATTTCTGCTCAAATGTTGGATTTTTTTTTTTTTATTATAAGATTATTATTTTTTTATTTATAAAATTAAATTATATATATATATAAGATTTAGATTCAGGTGCCTGAGTGGTAGAAAAAAACGTTTGTATACATTTTTCTAGCAAAGGATTAATTTTCCAAAAGAACAAATTTATATCTGGGCTTTCAAAAATAGCCTCTATCTATGCTTTTCCCAACAAACTGATATCTTAGTTACAGTAAGAAATAAAATATTCTTCACACACTAAAATAAAACATCACCATTCTTCTAAAAACTTACAATGATTTCCTACTCTTAAATCTCAAATTCTTATATCTGGATCCCATAGCTCTTTAAGATAATAAACAACTCAATACCATAACTGAAGAAATTTAAGAAAATTTTCTTGGAAAAATGGTAGATAAGTCATTTTAACCATCAAAGCAGTGTTTTGTTACTAGAAAAAAAGCTAATAGAATTTAATGATTAATTACAAGACTGATTACAAAGCTAAATGGGTAGGTAGTTCTCTTTATATAAAATCTCTAGTTATGTTTCATTTGGAATACTATGTAGTTTTGTCTCCTTCTCTGAGAAAGGATATTGATTAATTAAACAGGAATCAAAAAGGTGCTACAAGGATGATTCTAGGGATAAGAAGCTGGGTTAAGATCTCTTACCTTATTCTTTCTTGCATAAAGGATAGGAAGTGATTTTACTGAAGTTTAAAATATTTCTTTGTGCTGTATCCTGAAGAAAACAGGATGATAGATCACAAAAAATAAAATCCAATAATTAAAATACAAAGATTCATATTTACACAAGTAAAAGTATAATAAAGTCATCAATGACTAATTTAAAAACACTCTACATGTTACATGTTTCAACACACTTCTATGTCATCTTCAGGAGTTACTTACAAGACAATTTATATTTTCTGCATGCTGTGAGGTATTATGATTGAAAGTTATTTACATAAATCACCTATCAACGTTTACAACATGCCATGTCATACATCAGTTAAGTGAACTGATGACCTTTTGTCTCAATTTAATATTTTTTTTCATTTTTTGAATTTCACTATTATTAATGTTTCTCAGATATATCATGTTGTAACTTTTTGATTGAGCTAAGTTTGTAGTTTTGTCCCATAAAATTATATGTTGTGTTGTTTGCACATGTTCTCCTACAACTGAATTTTCTAATCTGTTGTTTATGCACCTTTTATGGTCCTGTAATCTGTACTTTAATTTCCTTTTACTTTGACCAATATAAATACTACCACATTCACATTCTATTTTATACATCCAAGTCTTGTCTTTTATCTCTGTTTTATCTGATATATGGCATGACATGTTGTAGGCACTGATCAGTGACTTATGTAACTAACTGAAATGTAATACCTCATAACATGCAGAAAGTATAAACTGTCTTGTAAATAACTCCTAAAGATAACACAGAAGTGCACTGTAACATGTAGTCTTTTGTTAAGTGAAAGCCATTGACAGCTTTATTCAACTTTTAATTGTGTAAATATGTCTTGTTGCATTCTAATTATGTATCTGATTTTAAACATTAAAAAAGTACTGATCATTCACACTTGTGACAGAACACAAGTCTGAGATTTGTTGGAAAGACAGGCTAGGCTCTAGCTAACAAAATGTAAGAACAAGTGTCCTGTTAATCCATCTAAGATGTCTCACCCACTGAACTAAGCTTAAAAAAATCAAAGCCAGTCCTTATCATTCAAATATTTATCAAGGCTTCCTTTAAACCCCCTTAATTTTATTGCATACATCACAACTGAAGACAACCCATTCCAAAAGTCAACCACCCTGTTGGAAAAACAAATGGTTTTAGCTCAAGATTATTTTACCAAAATTTCTACTTGTGTCCCTTAGTACTACAATTTTCACTATCTCAATCAGGTCCTCTCTAACTCATATTATTTCAAAAGAAAACAATTTCAGGGATCTTAACCTGTCCTTACATGACATCTTTGCATCCTAGGTATAGATATCTTCCCAGTAAGTCTTCCTCTCAACATTTAATATGAACTTAACATCCTTCCTTAGGCAATGAATCCAAGACTGAACAAAATACTCCAAATGATGCCTAACCAGGAACATATAAAATGAAATGATAACATATTTAGACTTGTATTCAATATTTCTATAGATGCAACCTAAAATCCTATTTGCCTTGCTACTAGCAACAGCACATTGCTTGGATAGTTTAAGAGACTAATGAAACAGAGATCTTTTTCTTCCATAACACTCAACTGTTTAACAGTTATTTCCATCAAATTTATACTTACAAAATTATGATAATCTACATGCATTATGTTGCATTTGTTATAAAATAAATGCTATCTGCCATTTATTCACCCAACTCACCAAATAATCTAAATCCTCTTGTAAAGCAGCAACATCCTTTTCACAGCCAGCAACACCCAAGTTTTATTTTTGTAAAATTGGGATGATTAACTTATAAAATTAGTTGCCACTGGCAGTAGTGGAAGACAGCACTTTATAGTTATAGAAGTTTAAAGATGGGGTATAGTTGAGTTCCTGAAAAATAAAAGTAGATGTATATAGACAACTTTTAAGGACCAAAAATGGATGACTCTACTACTGCTAATGTCATAATTATATCACTATCATTGAATATGGCAGAACATGTAGCACAGCTTCCTATGAAGAAACAGTGCAGTTTGAAACATACATTTTGATAAACCATCAATTACTTTACACACACACACATAAAGAAAAATACTAGAAATGGGTAGTTTATAATTATGTATATATATTTTATTTCAGTGTCTCTGAATCTGATGCTGGATCACATATATTATTATTATTTCTAACTACTTAAACTAGACAATCAGTAATTTTAAATTTGAGGTAATTTATAAAAATAACTAAGAAAAAGATTAGTCGGCAATGTTTCTAAAGACAAAAAAATGAAGTTATGTTAAACATCCATAACTTTGAATATACATTTACATTTGAATTATATTTAGTTATTTTTAAATAACAAAAATTAAAAATGACATGCTGACTTCATTTTTAAATCAGAATTTGTAATTAAGTTTATTCCTAACGTTAGGACTAAAAGTCACTAAACTTTATACAAATTATTCAAAAGTTACGATTTAATTTTTAAACGCCAAAATCCGGCGCAATATTGAAACCCAATACTGCAATAGGCCTAAAAGTAAAATTGTCGATGTTATACTAATTATTAATATAAACAAGTTAACTGCAGATGTTTTCTTTTCACATTCCTTTTTTAATTTGACCAATGCGGCACAAAATAAAAATGAACAAATTAAGAATGTGAAGAAAAAATAATCTGCAATTAACTTATTTAATGACAATTATCATTTCATACATGCTACACTTATGTATTACAACAGCATTAGACGACTAGTAAAACAGCGTTTGGCGCAATGTTTCATGTTTAAACAAGATAAATAAAAAATTCACATTTCAAAACGTGCAAATAGGGGTCGTAGGAAAAGTAAGCAAACAAGATGGAGATACTGTAGACATTATTAGCTCAAACTACAAACCCCTATTATGGCTCCATGCTCTTACCTTGAATTATATTTGGTGAAGTCAAAATACGGATTTGTAATTTGAGTAAATAATGTCCACAATATCTCCAGCCTTATCTAGGTTTTTAAATTCCTAGTATTTTGTTTATCTTGTTTGCTGGCTTTTTTTTATGCTCAACTATGGGCAAAGGATTATTTGATATGGTACCTAACTTTATATATTATAATGATAATAAACACAGCTAGTAGTTAGCTGATACGGTTCATGATGATTTACTGTAGCTATTGACTTTTTGTTCGCATTAGTTCGAGATTAAAATGATACCCTGCAGCTGAAGATTTTTATTTGATAGTATAGTGAGCATTGATACTTTTTATATAACAGTTCTCTATATGTAATGCATAGCAATGGGCAAATATATGATGATTTACTGTAGCTATTGACTTTTTGTTCGCATTAGTTCGAGATTAAAATGATACCCTGCAGCTGAAGATTTTTATGGAGATTTATTTGATAGTATAGTGAGCATTGATACTTTTTATATAACAGTTCTCTATATGTAATGCATAGCAATGGGCAAATATATGCCTAGACTAAGACACCCCCCCCCCCACTAAGCGGGTTTAAAATTTTACCAGAAGAAAAGCAGCCTTTTCAAGTAAAACACATACTTCTAAAACATCACTTTTAAATAAACCTTCGTGTCTTTTAAAGTAATTATTCTATGAATGCGTGTAATGAAATTTAATATTATGTGTGCTGATTATTTTTATTCCTTCACTTCATACATTATATAGGGATTGGCTCCCTAAAGACACAGATTGTATAGTGTCGGAACTACTTTTTAGTAATATATATATACTGTTACGACAGCGGAAGCCACGTGACGCTGCTGATGAGTTTCTCGAATGATCGGGGAAGTCCGAGTGTGTTCGAGATGCCCTCTTCGTTAGTATATAGGTCTGGCAGAAGAAAGTCAGCAGAGTTAATGAACAGAGAGCAATAGTTACTTTGAGTTCTGTGTAATTTATGATCCTGTTAATTTCGAGCTAGTGAGCTGTAAAGTGTGTGTTTTGCACACGTCGAGAGCGAATTTATCGAGATTGTGAATCGCTGTGATTTATATCGTGTATTATAGAAGTTAAGTTTAAAGTGACAAGAAACGTACTGATTGTGCAACTTCTATGTACTAAAAATTATATTGAGGAAGAATAAACTGGTTTAATCAAGAAAGGACGTGTATCACTGAAGATCCTCGGAAAGAATTTCTACTGGAAACAAACAAACAAGCAGATAGGTAACATACTAATGTAGATGTATGGATGTGTTGGGCAAAGGATTCCTCTACACTAGGTGTCTGTTATTTTTTGACCATAACTTCGACGATAAACGAACTGCGCACACTTCACTTGTTTTTTAAAATAATATATATTTATTCAAAACAAGTTAAATGTATATACAAAAAATCCTTTAAACTATGAAGATCATAGTTGTATCTTAAACACTATACAGGTCTCTTCTTCTTGTCAAAAGTCCACTTAGGCCAATTAAATTGCTTTATAATTCATTTGACAAGCCGAATTGCTTTTCTCTATTTTTATTGCAATAATATCCACGTATAATTCATTTATGCTGTTGCATCGGTTACTGTAGTTGTATCCTTAACTTCCAATAAACGTCTGCTTTTCATACTTCCAATAATCGTCTTCTCTTCGTATTTCTAATAATCATCTGCCTTTTGTCAAAGTTCACACAGGCAGGTTTAATTACTTTAGAACATCCTTTGATGAGACAAATTATTCTCCTTATCTTTTTCAAACTGTTAATCTCACTATAACATATTGTTACGTTTCCGTTTGTTAATTGATTTCCCGTAACTTCGTTCCGACGAAACTTTAGCGACACAAGTCCTTTCTTAATAAAACTGGTTTATTCTATCTGACTGCAGTTCAGTTACTCACTACCTACACACATTGTCCCGTCACGTTGTCACCATCTTATATATACCAGACTACCCTATATCTAGTAATCTCCCGAAGGTTCGAGAG